GGGCGCAGTCAGCTCCCGCCGCGCCCCGCCCTGCGCGCCCCGGCCCCGCAGGCCTGCGGGGCGAGGAAACGGAGCGCAGAGCGGCCTATCCTTAGGTGTCCTCGGCGCCCGCGGGAACCACTGCGCCAGGCCGACGGGGCCCGCACAGAGCCGGCCCTGACCGCGGCAGAACCCCGACGCTTTGCTCGGGCCCCTTTATCGATTCCCCAGCAGGCACCAGCTTTCTCAGGCCTTCAAGTGATCTGCGCGCCAAGGGTACTTCCCTCCCCTCACTCGAGTACCCGAGCGACCTCTAAGTCACGGAAAACATTAACACCATTAAACGCGCTTGTCCCCTCCTGGCCCATCCCAACGGCCTGGAGGGTCCTGTCCTTTCGACATTACACCAGGAGGACAGTCCTTCTAACGCCTGGTGGGTGACCTCACACGAAGCTCCAGTGGTTTGGGCCTCACCCTTCATTGCACACCGGGGCCGATTTGAATCCTGGGCTGCCTTGAGATCTGACGAGCTACGGTCTGTTCTCCCGGCTCACTGCTGAGAATTTACTATCTGCACACATCTTTTTTTCTTATCAGTTTGTTTTCCTCTTTACTACCCTGAAATCATAACTCCCCAAAGTAGTATCATCATTAAATCTACCAATGACCTCTTCTCTGTATTCTTCATCCTGAGCACCCTCTCCTCAGCATTCACGCATGCGATGGTCTTCTACAGAGGGGGTGCGCATTTTCTAGAATCTAGGCCCGCGATTTCTGCTGTACTCTGGACAGCTCTCCAAGATGAGGTACCTGATAGGCAGGTTAGGAGACAGGAAGTTTGATTCATTGGCTGAAGTTTCCATAACGTCTCTGTGCTGGACAGAGGCAAAGGACCTAGCGCTCAGGAGGCAGAACACATGATGGGAGAGGGGCAAGTGATTACCGCATCGCCCCTCCCATAAAAAATTCTTCAGTGGCTCCCCGTGGACAGCATTCACATAACTCACACTGGCATTCAAGCTATTCTTTCATTTTATATATATATATTCTTTATTTCAGAGAGAGGAAGGGAGAGGGGGAGAGAGATGGAAGCATCAATGATGAGTCATTGATCGGCTGCCTCCTGCAAGCCCCCTGCTGGGGATCAAACCTGCAACCTGAGCATGTGCCCTGACCAGGAAACAAACAGCCGTCTCCTGGATCCTAGGTCGATGCTCAACCGCTGAGCCACGCGGGCCCGGAATATTCTTTCCATTTTTATTATCCGTGCTCTGGCCATCACTTATATACAACTCATCCTGTACCCTCCATATGTTCCTGCCAAACAGCCAAGTGAACTTGCTTCTCTGTCTACCTTCGTGCCTTGCATATGCTATACCCTCCACCTGTAATGCTACTTACTTTTCCAATTCTCTGTCTACATTTTTTTTTTTTTACTTCATGCTTATCCCAAATGCTACATCCTCAATGAGATAGTTTCTGATTCTCCTCACCTGTCCCCTTCCCCCAACTGTCCAATTGTTACTGCTTTTCCATTGAACCCCAAGGTGGTTTGTACCTCTTGGTTAGCATTTAACTTGTGTTTTGTGTCATGTACTTGTCTTATCACCAATATCCATGCGCTTGGGAGATGTAACTAGATCTTACTCATCTTTTTAGCTCAGCAGTGCCCAGTTCAGAGCCTTGAAAAAAGCATCAAAAGTAGTTGAATTGAGATGTAGTAAAAAGATCATGAGAACTAAATTAGGTTAATTAGCAAGAATCTTCCATGCAACTCTTGGGTGGTACTCAGTGTGCCCATCCCAGGACCTAAGAGAACCCCAGAGTTTCAACATATAGATGACGTCAGGTAATATTTTAAGAAAATAGAAGAAATTGCCCTTAAAGAGTTTTTAATCTAGTAGTGAGATAACATAACATGTCTTCCACTTAGGAAAAGTTTACTAAAGAACTTAGAAGTTTTCATTTGATTAATGAACTTGTTTATATGATGTGTCATTAGGTATTCTTTGGAAAGGCTCCCATGATGAGTTGCTTGGGTAATGTCCAACAGTGGGGCAAAGCTGCAATGGCCATGCACCCAGAAGGTATTTTCAGACTGAAGAACAATGCAGACAACTCCATAAAGTAGAACAGGGTTTACTATAGGATAATTTACATAGAGGAATGTAGGGTCAGCGCAGACAGATGGCCCAGCAATGCTGCACAAATTATCCTCCACAACCAGACCCCTGTTACAGTACATTTTAAATACTATAGCTCAAGTACTGATGATTGACAAGACAAAGGGACAAAGGATACCATAGGCACCAGGGGCCATACCTCCCGCTGGTCTTATGATAGATGATGGTATATAATCTGTTCTATCACCAATCTGATATGTATCTTGGTTGTTAGGCCATTCTGGAAGTTACTAACAAAAATATGTATGGCTACATTGTATGAACCCAGATAATCATCAACTAGAAGGCTTTGGTACATTTACATAGGACGGTAAGGGTAGTTAAAGGTCACACCATGATCCAGGACACAAAGACGGAGTTGGTTTTTGGTCACAACCACATCTCTGCAGAAAAACATTGCAAACTTTATTTCCCTTTTTGAGATTCACAGTGCCTATAAGAATACCGAAGGCCCTAGAAGTCCTGCAGTAAAGTAAGCTACTGAATTTTGCTTGACACCATATTTCCTGAATTCATTTGACCATGGAACCCCCATTTTTTTCCCCTCAGAATTTCTACAGTTTAGGAAATGCTGAAATAAAGGGGGATGGGATACAGGCCTAAATAAGGGACCAGGAAGATGACTTTGAGAAGTCAGAGATTGCCAAAAGAGAGAACAGTAGGCACCTAAATAAAATAAGGGGCAGAAAATGAGCCAAGGAGGAAAAAGTCTAGATGATGATCACTTAATTCCTTTACGAAATGACTGAGGCCTCTGTAAAAGTGCAAGAAAAAGTTACCACCAAAAATGTAAAAAGATTCAGCCCTGGATGGTGTGGCTGAGTTGGTAGGAGTGTTGTCCTGGACACCAAAAGGTTGTGGGGTCAATTTCTGGTGAGGACACAGGTTGTGGATTAGATCCCCAGCCCTGTGAAAGGCAATCAATCAATCAGTCTCTCTCTCTCTCTCTCTCTCTCTCTCTCTCACTCTAAAAATCTATGAAAATGTCCTCAGGCGAAGATTTTTTTAAAATGTATAAAGATTCAAAACCATCCCACTTCTCTCTTATAAGGGCTAATTTCTAAGCTGTCCCTAGTTTCTCCAGCCATAATAAAAGGGGTCCTGGGTCATAAAACATTTCCAAAACAGTTAAAATACTCAGAAATAAATTCTACACAGTTCTCAGAATTTCTCCATGATTACTTTTTGTGATCTTTGCTGGAGTTTCCTCTAGCCTAAGAAATCAGCTTAAATTTACACTTATTTGATATTTTATAGTTAGGGTTCTTTGTGAATTGTTTTCCTCTAGATAGCTAGGCTGTTTCCAAATATTTAGTGTTCCTATAAATATTATTTTGATTTTTACCTGATCCAAAAAATAAAAGTTAACATCTACAATTTGTGTCTCAGATTGAATTTTCTGTATATTTATTTTTCCTTCTTCAACTTGGTTTTATGTGTATCTACCTACAACACAGAGCAAACCTCACAATTAACAGTGAATTATTAGAAGCATTTTCTTTGAACCAAGAATAAGAGAAGGAAGCCTTCTATTACTACTTCTATTTAATTTTATTCTGGAAGGCCTAGCCAGTGCAACAAGAATAAGGGGAGGAAGGGAAAAGAAGACTTAAAAGAAATAAACTGTTGTTTACCAGTAATCGACAATACTAATCTATGATAATAAATGTTGCTGGTACAATTAGTTACCCATTTGTAAAAAATAATAATAATAATAATGCAGTTAGAGCTCTACCTTATAACATATATCAAAATCACTTAAAG